TTTATTTTTTTTCGCTTGCGACGTCTCATTCACATTACACAATCATTAGTGTAGTAATAGTTATTGGGGGAAAAGTAAAAATTGTTATCGCTTTTTGACTAGGTAAAGTTTTCCTGCACAATCCTGGCAGTCCATAACTTGTGTCCATCATGCTGTGTTGTTGAGCTCAGAAGTACATGTAAGCCCTCAATTGTTTCCAGATTGTTCAGGGTTGAAATAATGTCACACATGTGCGTGTACATGTACTCCATCCAAACCCGTACACTTGGGGGTTCGGAGGATTAATTTAAGGTGTAGTCTATGTGGAAAAGAAAAGGAAACACTGAAAGTAAAAGGTAACGAGATCATCACATCATAAACATGGTGAACCCTTTCCACATGAGAACAAAATGTGCATGATTGATTTTCCTTGAAATCGGTTGAGTTTGACATGTCTTTATTTCAACACAAATAATTTCAAAACCCTTTTGAAAATCAAACCAATACTTCAAGTTGAGACTCCAAGCTTTAAAGTGATATAAAAAATAATGGCTATACGTGTATCTCCACCAAACCTTGTGGATTGTCACGGAGTTCGGAGGATTATTAAGTAAAATACACAATGCCCTATGACCATTTTTGGTTTATTTTTCCCAGTTTTAATTCAAGCATACGATTTCGCAGTTCAAGTGAAATCATCACCTTCTGTGGTGTTTTTGTCACTCCCTCACCCCAGCTTCAAGGAAAATCTGCGCCCATCACTGTTATAATGCCCTAAAGTAAACACATACACACAACCACACAATGCAGCTTATTGTTAGCTGACCTCAAGGGGGGAAAAAAAGAACAATAGTACCATAAAAACACAGTGAGTCACCAGTCAGCCTGCAGACTAACACACTACACACACCACAACAAACAGTGGGCCCTATCTGTGTCATTGACTCAGGGATTTTTGTACACAGTAAATCCATGAGTTGTTAGTGATCGGTGGCCTGGAAAGGGACCTCAGATTCTGAGGGACCATTTTGTGGTCTTGTTCTCTGCGGGTTGTGGTGTGATTTTGGAGCAGAATTGAGCGGGAATTGTCTACATGTTGCTGGAAAGGATTTCATCGGTTTCAATGAGTGCTTCATTTTAGCAACGATTTGGAGTGTGCATACGTGTGCCACATGCCCATCTATTGTGAATGTAAGCACGTGTAGCGTTATCATTACCAGAATTGGCAGTGTTTGTACTGGATACTGCTGGTGTGTGGAAGATGTGATAAACTGCCAAGGATGTGTTGATACTGTATTTAAATGCACCTGTTCCACAGTACGTTATTTTTTGTAAGTGTTGTATTCCATTCGATTGGATAGCAGATTGACATTGGATATTGCGGACTTCAGCACCGTGGTTTGCATTTTGATCAACTGTAGATCATAAATCTTGCTTCGCTGTAAAACTGTGCTGTAATAATTGTGATCTATGCTTACTGTTACCACCAGGAGAAGATAAATGAGAACGCTGACAGATTCATGAACCGACATTAATAGGATTGGCTTTTCGTGTCTGTCGACTTGGTGATAATTGCTTAGATGTACTGCATATTGAGATGATCATGTACAGAGATGAACTTCTAATGAACAGCTATACTAATGTGTATCCAAAATAGTTCGCCATTTTTGGAATACCATTGGAACCACACACAGCGTGCATCTGGACTCAATGCACCCTTAAAATGAACATGTTGTTGGAAATCGTTCATCTTCATCACATGAGCACATTTAGAGAAGAAATCAAGACATAAATATTGTACATTGTAGATGATTTGCCGCCACGTTTGCAGTATTCTCGCAATTGTTTTGCAATTCTTCATTTAATCATTAACTCGACCACTACTGAGCAAACGTGTACACGACACCGCAACAGTGGTGATTCATTGCAACGATCCCGGAACAATAACCAACCGGTTGTTCGGAACCCGAACCCTTTAATCTCCTGAACGGCCGTTACACGCACACGTGTAATTGGGCCACCGCCAGCATAGGCCACTGAAGTGGAACCGCAGGGCAGATGCGATAGTGACGCGAGTCCCTAAATAATAAACGACGTCTTCGCTATCAACTGAACCTCGCACAGATTAGATACTGATTCGTCAAATAAACCAAGGGAGGATTTTGATTCCGACAGAAGAGGTTTTAAACTGGAAAGCTGCTTATGATATTAAGTAGATCAGGTGGCCATACGTGATAACCTGTATACACGGACACCGCGAGATTGTGAAAACTCTGCTGGTTTATGCGGCACAATGGCACATTCGTGTGGTAAGTCTGGTGTGTTATTGTTATTGCTCAACATATTTTTTAAAAATTTTTTCCAGTGGATAATGTAAAACATTGAGAGGAATTCATGGTATTCCATTCCAGGTTTGGCCTGAAATGTACAGTACGGTACATGTGACAATTAAATTGTACACGTACATTGTCAGAAAATTATTTCAACAACTAATAATACTCTGTTACATGAATGCATTAATTTTTTTAAATTGTTTCGTTGAACAACATTTTTCATGTAATTATAACAGGAATTTTAAGAGGTCTGTGGAATACATCCTGGGTTTTTTTCCAGCCATTTTAAGTTTCTCAGCATTTCTGACAAATTTGAGATTAGATCCAACATTGCTTCAAATGTACTGCAAGATCTTGGTTGATTATGATACAAACCATTGAAGTTCAGGCACAGAGTTCTGCCATACATCAACGTGTGGTCATACAATCCTGTAATATGTGGAACAGTTTTAGGAGGAGAACTCCCATTCTGCATTGCCACCTATTCAGTTTCCCATTTCACACCCCTCGAGGTCCAGATGGTGCAAAGATGGGGTCAGTTTCTGGGATCTGGTCACTTTGTGAAGCCCAGGAGTATTGGTCTGAACACGTATTCCTCATTGTGTGGTTAATATGACCATCAATCTGTATATGATATGCTTTATTTTATTGCTTGCTGTAAGGGTGGTCCAGGCAACTTGACAGTTTTAATTTCCAGATTCAGCGGGATGGCTGAGAGACTGGTATGGGTAACACTAGTAGTTCATCACAATGATCTTCTGACATTGCACATGAACATGTGAGAAAACTCTCAAGCCCAGGTTTTAATCTAAAAACTAGAAGCGTCTAGAATTTAAACTGAATCAATCACACTATGGAGAGCATGTTATCCAGTGTACAAATATTATCATTGTTTTCTGGATATAAAAATATATTTTTTTCCTAAAGTTGAGCCACTGATATATTTGTTGTCAAGGTGTTAAATGCTCCATCTTTTCAGTGCATGTCCAGATTCAAAAGGGCAATTCCACGGTAACTCACGTTACATTTTCGTAACGTGAGTAACCGATTTTGTGCAACTTGTTTATCATACATAACACATTTTTCTGGATGTCATCTTTGGTGCTTAGGTAGGTCTAGGTCTACTCTATCTACCATGGGGATAACAGTTATTAAACCTTTTCAGTAAGGTAATTACAGCCCAAGGAAACTCAAAAGTACATCAAAAATGTAACGTGAGTAACCCTGGAATTGCCCAAAACAATCTGTGCACTGTTGACAATTTCCAGCGCTCTTGAACAATCTGAGCATATACAATGTATACATGTATGTTGCTAGACAAGAGCCTCTAGGTTAATCCTTGGGGATCAATAGACAACAGCACAGACCAGGAATGCTAATCAATACCATTGAATAGCTGCTACCAGTATTATCACTGCTGATCAGTACTGGTTCATTGTAACTGTAAACTAGTAAAGCCTGCTGTCCAGATGCCCATTGAGGCTTCCTGTTAAAGGTTAGTTACATGTACGCAAGACCTGCTGTGTGTCCTCCCTGGGTCAGAGCTTATGGCTCCAAGTAAATGTACATTGTACTTGCAATGGATGTGGCTAACAATTACACATGGGCCAATGGAAGTCGCTGAATCCACTCCATATACGTGTGCATTAAAGCTGGCCATAGCCGAGTAATACAGACATAGCCTTTAATCATAAAGCAGGTCTATCACCAGAAAAGAGCAGGCTTTGTATTTCCTATGAATTAATTGAAGAACACTGAACTATTGTGAAACTTGTTAAAGATGTAAACTTTCCAGTCACTAAATGCTAATCAAATCCATACTATTCAATTTTATCACTAAATGATCAAATTATTTATAAGCAGCAAAATTTCCATTGATCTTCTCCTGTTGGTTATTTTATATGTGTTTTGCAAAATGTAGGCTAACTCCATGCACACACATCTCGATCACTGTGAATGCATTTCATACTGTACTTTCGTATGAAGAACTTTGTACATGAAACCCTATTGACAAATTTGTGACAAAAGTGAGATCCTGTAAACAGGAGAAGAGCCAATCAACAGCCACGAATTTTAACCAATTGCTGAGAAGGCTTGGAGGGGCAACCAACCAATAAGAATTCTTGTTCTGTGACACTTGGCAAGGCCTGGCTGGGCCAATGAGACGTAGGGTTGGTTCTTGACATTCTAGAAGTAGAAAGTTTAGGCGGGATGGAAAAGTTGCTGGCCAGTCACTTTTGTCTCAGCCTCTGAACAAACAACTTGGATAGCAAATTTTACTTCACATTTTTAATTCTTACATTCGTACAAATCTGGAGTCTTCCATGACATCTTTTGCATAATTAAGGTCCCACACTGTTGTTTTGGGCCTTGGATACAGCGTTTTTGTTTTGGCGAGATTGGCCCGTTCCCTGTCGAAAACTTCTAAAAGGATCTTCCAGCGTGGATTGGAGCTGACTAATTAAACGGACAGTTTCGACATCTGCATCAACGTTCACTGCCACCTCCTGAACAGCAGTGTGACACCAGTGGCCAACGTCACGGACTTAACAGTGTTTGGCTGAACTCGATAAGGACAATTATCTACGTTTCACTACATCAGTTGATGAACTGTGACATTGTGGACGATGCCGCGACCAAAACGGACAGCACCACCACCGTCACGTTTAGCGGACATAGACACGGATCATGCCCATGATGGAGTACAGCCAAGTAAGCGGCGTCGAGGGGCCAAATCGTCTACCAGATCAAGTGGTCAAGAATCGTCTCAAGGTATAGGGCAAGGTCCCAGTTTCGATACGGCCACTCCTATCATTTCTGATACCGCTAATATCGACAATACATTAATCCCATCAGTTGGCACACCTTTGGGTTACCATGTTTCTTTGTCTATTAAAGAAAAGATTTGGAATGGTATTTATGTGGATATGTCCACGCTGTATCAGGAGCCTGCGGCAACCGCTATTGCTCGGGCAGAGGATGAGGAATTTGCCATCGCAGTTGAGGGCAACAAAATGGTTGTCCGCAAATCCTCTGCCCTGCAGCGGGGAAAGATTGACACATTTGATAAGTGGGCCTCCGCTTTCAATACATTTGTGGCAATTTTTGTGCAAAAACATCCGCAGCGCGCCCCTGAGTTGTTAAAGTATTCCGAGACTGTTCGGCTTGCGGCGCGCCAGTTTCCAGGGTTCGGATGGCGTAAATACGATGAGCAGTTTCGCCTCCGCCAAGAACATAACCCCTCTCGCTCGTGGGGGGTGATTGATTCCGAACTCTGGCTGACTGTCGCGGCCGCCCAAACAGTTTCGGCTATGACCGGCGGCCCGAGTGGCTCCGGCACTTTGCAACGCTCAGGTCTTGATAGTAAAGTTCCCATGGTTTCCAAACGTTTCGGGGTTTGTTTTGCGTTTAATGGGGTGCACGGATGTCACTTCCGTGGATGTAAATATGTACACAAATGTAGTAAGTGTTCATGCACGGGCCATGGGGCTGCCGTATGCAAAATGGGGAGTTCGGCTGCCGGGCCCGGCCCTTTTTCTTGGCGTAAGGACCAAGTCCGTAAGTCCAATGATCAGGCTGGGCAACACCTTTCCAAACCTGGCCAGGCTGCTTTTTCCCGGCAAGCCAATAGAGTACCAAGTACTAAGGCCCCCTCGGGGATTTCTTTTCGTCCCTCCAACACCAATTAAGGTCTTTGTTCTAAGGAAATGGTTGGACCGTTATCCAATTCAACGTGATGCCCATCTGCTAGAGAGAGGGTTTTCACAAGGGTTTTCGCTACAATACAAAGGTCCGAGGCATAGTAGGCAGGCAGGTTGCTTACCTTCAGCAGCTGCTCACTCTGAGATAGTAAAAGAAAAACTCCAAAAAGAAATAGCCCTAGATAGAATTGCAGGCCCATTCACAACCCCACCTTTCCCAACATTGCAGTGCTCGCCCATTGGTTTGGTACCTAAACGTGAACCTAATACATTCCGGCTCATTCACCACCTTTCCTTCCCGGCAGGGCATTCAATAAACGATTTCATTGATAAACAAGATTGCACAGTAAATTATGCCTCGTTTGATGAGGCAGTGCAGTTAGTGATGACAGCAGGACAGGGAGCATGGTTGGCAAAGTCGGACATTAAATCTGCTTTCAGATTACTTCCAGTTAACCCGGCTGATTACGATCTTTTGGGTTTTACATTTGAGGGAAAGTTTTATTATGATAGATGCTTGCCAATGGGATGTTCCATTTCGTGTTCCCTTTTTGAGAAATTCAGTACATTTCTAGAGTTCAAGGTGAAGGAGATTGCAGAGAGTTTGATGGTCACTCACTATTTAGATGATTTCTTATTTGTAGGGCCGAGTGCACATTCTTGCCAGGCACTCTTGCAGGCCTTTGAGTCGGTATGCACAGTACTTGGTGTGCCCATTGCACAAGAAAAAACAGAAGGTCCCCTTCAGAAATTAACATATTTAGGCTTAGAGATTGATGCCCTGGCTAAGCAGGTCCGAGTCCCTATGACTAAAGTAAGTGCACTCAATGACCAGTTACACTCTACTTTGAGTAAGAAAAAGATCACACTAGTAGCACTGCAGTCATTAATTGGTTCGCTTAATTTTATCTGTAAAGCCATTGCGCCTGGGCGGGCATTTATGGGTCGCCTTATTGCCCTTACACGAGGGGTCACTCAGTCTCATCACAGAATCCGGCTCAATCAAGGGGCAAGACAAGACCTACTTATGTGGATCGAATTTCTGAAACATTTCAATGGGGTTTCCCCCTTTGTGGAGAATGAATGGCAATCTAACACATCCATGCAACTGTACACGGATGCAGCTGCCAGTATTGGTTTTGGTGCATGTTTTGGTTCACGGTGGGTTCAAGGTAAATGGTCAGCAGGCTTACTACAGACCAAACCCTCCATTGCATTGTTAGAATTTTACCCTATCCTGGTTGCTATTAAGTGTTGGGGCCGGACACTGGCCAATCAACGGGTGTTATTTCACTGTGATAACTTAGCTGTAGTTCATATTATTAACCAGCAAACATCTCGTTGTCCGAGAATAATGCACCTTTTGCGACTTTTTGTGTTGGAATGCTTAAACTTTAATATCCAGTTTAAAGCTGTACATGTTCCCGGCACAAACAATGACATTGCTGATGCTCTGTCCCGTTTCCAGACAGAACGGTTCCGAGCGATGCTTCCCGGGGCAGCGAGCACGATGACTCCTTTACCCATCCTCCCTCAAATCTGGTAGGCCAGGAGATGGCTCGCTTGCTGTCGGCGGCTTTCTCGCCTCACACTCATAGGGCATATGCATCAGGTTGGAGTGCCTTTTGTAGATTTAGAAAAAACATACGAACAAATTTGCCCGCTTCTGTAGCAGAAACTAGAGAGTTCATTGCTTGGTTATCCTTACAAGGTTTGGCACACGCCACTATTACCACTTACGTATCTGGGGTTGGTTATTATCATAAAATTCGGGGGTGGCCTGACCCTACTAAAGATTTCATTGTTTCTAAACTCATGCACGGCTGTCGCAGGGATCGCAACAGGGTCGATGAACGCCTGCCAATGTCTCTACCGTTGCTTGCCCAAATTATTGAGGCATTTACACATGTATGTTCCTCACATTATGAAGCTACACTCTTTAAAGCTGCAGTGACGTGTGCATTCTTTGGCTTCATGCGCTTGGGTGAATTTGCTGCCATTTCAAAGACCAAGTTACAAGAATCTCTGTTGCATATTTCTGACATTGAGTTTTGTGACCTGGCATCAACCCAGCAATCAGTGGTGATTTCTTTTCCATACAGTAAAAACAATAAAACTGGTGCTCCACAAAGGGTTAAACTAGTCACCACACAAAACTCAGCACTGTGTCCAGTAATGGCCTTGCAGGGATATATATCAATTCGCCCCTCAGGCCATGGCCCTCTTTTTTGTCATTTTGACGGGTCCCCATTGACCGCCTACCAATTTAATGCGGTCCTCAAAAAGGCATTGACTTTCTGTGGGAAAGGAGACTTGCATTATCGCCCCCATTCCTTTCGAATTGGGGCGGCAACTACTGCATATGAATTAGGTGTTCCATCAACTGACATTCAACAAATGGGACGTTGGCGGTCAGACGCAGTATTGACCTACATTCGCCCCATGCCTGTGGTCACTATCCCCCCTATTTAAAACAATTTATGGCGGCCCACTCTTTGCCTTAATCTGGTTTTCATTGTATATTTGTCTTCACAGGCCCAGTATGGATCATTGGGGATTCAATAATACGCTGGGCGGCGAGACCCCTAGAGGTTAATATACCAGTACTGTGGCATGGCAAGAGCGGCGCCGGTATCGGTGATCTCCCAAATTTATTACACGTTATGCAGGGCCCACCTCCTTCAATTATCATAGTTCATTTAGGTACCAATGACCTGGGCAATATTGATTTTTTCTCAATCCGACAGAGGTTAGTGATTTATATGCAGTGTTGTCGGGAACTGTACCCCCACGCCACATTACTTTGGTCAGAGATCTTGCCAAGGGCTTTTTATTTTGGAGCCAACCCCCAGGAGGCCATGGACAGGCAAAGGCGGTCTGTCAACAGGTGGGCTCGTTCTCGTTGCGGCCGCCTTGGTGCCTTCTCAATAAGGCACAATCAATTTAATCGGACAAGTTTCAATCTTTACAGACGTGATGGTGTCCATCTGTCTCCTGAAGGGACCCTGATTTTCAGGGCAAACCTTTGCTGTGCCATTAGGCAATCTCTGCAGCCGCAGGTGGGGTAGGGGTATAGACAATGGGTGTTTTCTTCCTTGGGCCGCGCTCTGCGCGTGTGGCATTTTTTGAAGCGGATAAAACACCCCATGGTTCATTAATGATTTTTTACTCCTGCCATTACGATTTTGTAAATAATACTTAGGTTAAACAAAGCACAGTGTGCAACATTATGTAAGTAATTTAATGAGTAGTTAGTATTTTATTGTTGCTGTCAACATGTCTTCCCCTGAGTCAGTACAACAGGGGAGGATGAACCGTTCCGTCTTCTGTAAGTTCAAACGAAGAAAGAACGGTGCATCAAAATCTTTTGTGGACTTGGCATACAATGTAATTGTACATAGAAACAATTTATCATAAGCTTTGTGGTGATATAAAGTTTACTGGCACTTTCTTAATAGATTTTCAGTTCGGCCTATCGTAAATAGGTCATTTATTGCATTGATGATTGAGCTGTGGTGCTCCGAGTCAAATGGTGCTTGGAGCTGCCCTTGGGCCTTTGTGGGTGCCCAAAAAACGGAAGAGCTATGGTCTCCAAGTCAAATGGTGCTTGGATGAGCTATTGGTGCTCTGGGCCTTTGTGGTGCCCAAAATGTGAATATTGACAATAATAATAGTGTGCTACATGGAGGATGGGTCGGCTGCCCAGATTTCGGTACCCGACATTTTTTGAATAAAAACCTTCTGGCTGAGGCGTAGACACACAAATTTTCTGTGTTGTTTGTGATTTTTAATTTGTCTGGTTATAATCAATTTTATCACTAAATGATCAAATTATTTATAAGCAGCAAAATTTCCATTGATCTTCTCCTGTTGGTTATTTTATATGTGTTTTGCAAAATGTAGGCTAACTCCATGCACACACATCTCGATCACTGTGAATGCATTTCATACTGTACTTTCGTATGAAGAACTTTGTACATGAAACCCTATTGACAAATTTGTGACAAAAGTGAGATCCTGTAAACAGGAGAAGAGCCAATCAACAGCCACGAATTTTAACCAATTGCTGAGAAGGCTTGGAGGGGCAACCAACCAATAAGAATTCTTGTTCTGTGACACTTGGCAAGGCCTGGCTGGGCCAATGAGACGTAGGGTTGGTTCTTGACATTCTAGAAGTAGAAAGTTTAGGCGGGATGGAAAAGTTGCTGGCCAGTCACTTTTGTCTCAGCCTCTGAACAAACAACTTGGATAGCAAATTTTACTTCACATTTTTAATTCTCCGCCACCTTCCCCTCCTCCTCCATGGCATTTTTTGAAGCGGATAAAACACCCCATGGTTCATTAATGATTTTTTACTCCTGCCATTACGATTTTGTAAATAATACTTAGGTTAAACAAAGCACAGTGTGCAACATTATGTAAGTAATTTAATGAGTAGTTAGTATTTTATTGTTGCTGTCAACATGTCTTCCCCTGAGTCAGTACAACAGGGGAGGATGAACCGTTCCGTCTTCTGTAAGTTCAAACGAAGAAAGAACGGTGCATCAAAATCTTTTGTGGACTTGGCATACAATGTAATTGTACATAGAAACAATTTATCATAAGCTTTGTGGTGATATAAAGTTTACTGGCACTTTCTTAATAGATTTTCAGTTCGGCCTATCGTAAATAGGTCATTTATTGCATTGATGATTGAGCTGTGGTGCTCCGAGTCAAATGGTGCTTGGAGCTGCCCTTGGGCCTTTGTGGGTGCCCAAAAAACGGAAGAGCTATGGTCTCCAAGTCAAATGGTGCTTGGATGAGCTATTGGTGCTCTGGGCCTTTGTGGTGCCCAAAATGTGAATATTGACAATAATAATAGTGTGCTACATGGAGGATGGGTCGGCTGCCCAGATTTCGGTACCCGACATTTTTTGAATAAAAACCTTCTGGCTGAGGCGTAGACACACAAATTTTCTGTGTTGTTTGTGATTTTTAATTTGTCTGGTTATAATAACATTTTGGTAGAATTTAAAACAGGGGTGAATTAAGTTTGGGACATTTTAAAATGGGCTTCTTCTTCACCAATATACACAGCATACTAAGTGCTCTCAGAACCTAAGGCCTTTTCACACTAGGCAAATCTCAGGGTTGACGCGGGGTTGAAAACATGCGGCGTTTCACACTTGAAAAATTTACCAGCTTTGTATTTTCTAATTAAACAACACTGAGCTATTGCGAAACTTGTTCAAGATGTAAACTTTCCAGTAAACTTTCCAGTCAAAAAAGTTATGTCTCGAAGCATGGTTACCATTCATCACCACATTTTTTGAAGAACCAGTACACGCACCTGTTAGTGTTACATCAGAACCTACCGTAATTATATCACATATTCCGTTGACAATACTAAAAATGAAATTTGTATTAGTGGGTCATTACATGTAACAGCCGGTTCCAATGTTGCCAGAGTTGTGAACATTTTGAAAAGTATGAGTCACTTAATTGCTAGTGATCCAATTGCAACACTGCACTTCTTTGCCACCAAGGGATTTTTTTGTTCCAAATTCAAGGTTTTGCAAAAAAAAATCTGTGACTTGTCAGCGAGATGGCACCTCATCAATTCATGTGAGGAGAGAAAACCTATGAATATCAAATCACGGAGATCTGAGGAACAGATGGAAAAGCAATCAAGTACCGTATAACTGGGGCAAGTAGGACAGTCAATTTTGATCTATTGCCAATTTGGAACATACATGTAGCCATAATGTTCACAGCAATTTTTGAAATAACAGAGAATTTTGACCAAAATGCAGAAACATTTGGCAATAATGCAAAAAAAAAATTGACAATAATGTAACAAATTTAGGCAAAAATGCAGCAAGTGCTGTTAATAATGTCAAAATGTTGGCAATAATGACTTGCATTTGGCCAAAATGCAGCAACTTTTGACAACAGTTTCACCGGTACTGGTTCATGTAGAAAATGTTGACAGTGCAACACTTTGGCAAAACTGCAGCAAGTTCGGGTAATAATACAGAACATTTTTGGCAATAATGCAGTGAATTTTGGCCAAACTACAGCAACTTTTGACAACAGTGTACATGTAGACAATTTTGACAGTGCAACACTTTGGCAAAACTGCAGCAAGTCCTGGTAATAACATAGAACATTTTTGGCAATAATGCAGTGAATTTTGGCCAAAATACAGCAACTTGTGACAACAGTGTACACGATGTAGAACATTTTGACAGTGTAACACTTTGGCAAAAAGTGCAGCAAGTTCTGGTAATAACATAGAACATTTTGGCAATAACGCAGCAAATTTTGACAATAATGTAGAACGTTTTGACAATACCTGCAGATTTTGAATGGTGCATGACAACTTCCTTTGTGGCGATACAGGTGCAATTTCATGCAAGATTTTTGATTGTGGACAGTTCATTTTAGATGATTTTTTTTTTTTTTTTTCAGAGAAGCGTAATGTACCGTAACTGTGTCATTGACCCCAGTGCTACATGTACTGAATTGTCCAAACAAGCTGACATTATTAATTGGGTCCAATTTTGAAGATTTCTTGAAATCGTTATGATTCATACAACCAGTGCAATCAATACTCAAAGTTCACTGCGACAGGATCACTGTTAATGTGCGTCATTATTTGCACGCTCAGTACGCTTATCTTGACAGGCCTGTTAAATGGCATTGATAGTGACCCCCATTATTGGTGTGCAAATTTATCTAGCACAAAAAAGGTGTATTGCTTAACATGGGTTTGAAGGAGAATATAACAACAAGCTTGGGTGTGTTGTGTTGGAACACTCGGCATGCATTGAACCACATACTCGCATTGTGCAAACTTCCTGCTTATCAAGAATACTTGGGGTTTTAGAACGAGGCCATTGACGGAACAAAGCATATTTCAGAAATTGAGTTTAAATCAGTTCTATTGAACAACAAGTAATCGGCTTTGGGATATCTCGATTAATCGACTACGTGTTTAGACTTGATTTGAGTCAGTGGGATCGTTATGTTTTGATTGTGGCAATGATTAATTTGTGACTTCATTGAATATCCATTGAGAGTTGAAATTGTAAAATACTGTTGAAATTTCAAATTATGTCAAAATATACCAGTATGCTTTCCTCTGCAAAACTGTTGGGAGGACCCTACTCAGAGTTACCCCCAAAATTCCATCTCTAGAATTTAATAAATTTAATAAATTGGGTGTCCACTTTTTTTTCCTGTCCCTGTAATACATCTGACATCTATGCTTTTATAATTCTGAAGCGCTCCGTAATTAAAGCAGTTGCCCTCCATGAGTGACTATGAATTAGCAAACTACCTACGGTAGCCAACATTAACTAAAATGTTGTTTGAGGTCATTGTTAATGATACTCGAAAAGGTGAATTACATAGTACCAAGGTAACTGGGCTTCATAGGAAAAATGTCACATTTGGACCCAAATTTATAGAATAATCCAAACCCATGATTGAAAAAATAGTCCACAAACTCGCAAAAATCCACGATCAAGTTCACCTTGCAGTCTTGTGGTTTTCACCCCCCCCCCCTCCCTTTTTCCACCAGCCATGAGACACCTGTGGTCGGAACAATGAACGCAGACCCAAGCGCCTGCGGTCACAGTCTG